TAAATGCAATGTATGATGGAAAAAATGAAGAGTCTACTGAGAGATAGAAAGGGATGGAAAGACCAAGTCATAATCATTACAAATAGCTGACAGCTATGTCATTTTCCTAAGCCACCCATCCATTAGTGAGTACAGTTCCATTCTGGCCCTGCCAGAGGCAGATAATCCAGAGAATGCAGATGAAACCCATGACTATTCAGCAGACTTACTGGTGAGCTATGGCTGTAGCCAGGCACACTTTACCCTGTGTCTCTCTGACAGAAGAAGTGTCTGCTATTAGCCTGGGGGCCCCCTTCTGTCTGTGGTCTACCTTGCTGAACTTCAGTTCTGATCTCATAACCATACTATCAATGGGGAAGACTGTTGCAGTAGAGAGAGAGAGAGACAGAGAGATCGAGAGACAGAGACAGGGACAGGACCATTGCCTAACCCAAGATTCAAGTAGTGTGGTCCTTCTTCCACTGTACCCTGTTCTAAGGATGTGAACCTACCCCACCTCTTTCCCCTTGTTTCTCATTGTGTGCTTTCAATTGTTTTAATAAACTGTGTGATTTGCACATCTTAATTTGGTCCATGAGCCCTTCTGTTCTGTGGCCTCTGGGAGAGCCTACATGGAGGCCACTGTTGAATCAAGGTCATATCCCACAAGACAATATCCAAATAACCTCCTTTCCAATTACATGGACATAAAATGAGCAATTCCGTCAAACTGCCATCAGGTGAACAAAGCCCCTGACCTGAAATCTATGACAATAACAGGATACAAACACCTTGAACTCAAGTCTCAGAAGGCTTCTTGCATTGGATAAATAGGAATTTCATGAATTCAACCAGAATTACTCTCAAAAATGCTCACTTATTTTCAGATCGTAAAATCACCAATGGCATGCTCAGATGTTTCAGTAAACAGAAGGATAACATTTTTCTGTTTACAGCACATTAACTTTTGCAAAGGATTTTAGGCTATCTGCCATCTTTCACCTTTCATCTTTGAGTTCTTTTGAGCTCGCTCAATAATGTGCAAGATTATGGATTCGCTGTCAGAGAGAATCAAAATGCAGCTGATAGTTTCTTCATTTATCTGATCCCAGTTTTTTCTTGTTTATCTGCTCCTGATTTTCTCACTAGGATTTAATAGCTTATAAAATTTTGGATTCTTTTAAAAAGTTGTTTATTCTGAAAACTTTAAAACTTAGAGAAAATAGTATAATGAACCCATATATCCACAGTCTAGTCCATGATTTACTTTGCCATATTCCTTCATTGTTTTTTGACTGAAGCATTTTAAAATAAATGACAGATTTCATGATATTTCATTCCAAAAGGCTTGTTTACATCTCCAAAGATGACTTGCTCCTACATAACCATAATATCATTATTGCACTTAACAAAAACTAATTATTGTTTTCTAGTACCATCTAATACATGGTCTATAGTCACATTTTTTTCCAGTTGTCCCCAAAATGTCTTCTACAGCTGGTGTGTTTAAACAAGGATTACACATTGTATTTATTTGTGGGAATCTCTAAAGTCTTTTAATCTACAACAGCTGTCACACTCTCTTTTTCCATGACACTGACTTGTAAAAAAACAGGCCACTTATCCTTAGAATGTTCCATCTTCTGGAAGAATGTTTTCTCATGGTGATTTGATTAATTTGTTCTCCTATCCTCCATATTTCATGAAAACTAGAAATAAAATCTCCAGGTCTGATGATTTTCGAGTTAAATATTTTGTTGCAAGAATTCACCATATGTGTGCTATAAACTTTTTATTGTATCACATCAGGAGGCACATAGGTCCGGTTCTAACCTTTACATATCCTGTTTTCCCGAAGTTAATTGTTGGTTGGTGAACTATTCATTTTATGTGTGTTGGTCCCACACCAAAGAAAATGGCCATCAGTGAAATGGATCATCATTTTGATAGGGATCAAATTGTTTTTGTCATTAACTGAACTAACTACTTAGTGGATGTTAACCATATCATTTGAGTGGTACACACTGACTTCTATTTTGGAACAGACCTTTCACATGGTCTTATAAAAGGAAGCATTTCTCAATTCAAATAAAATGTAATTGCTGGGGGAAAAATTAGAGTCGAAGCTTTCATAGAAGGAAATTCCTTCTATAACATGGTGAGCATATTCATTAAAGGACATGGCTTCCTCCCGAACTGCCTGGGTCAGTTTTTATATCTTGACCTTATATAAGGTAGGGTTTTTTGTTTTGTTTTGTTTTTTCTTGAAGTTTAGGACTCATGAGAAATATCCCTTATATTGCCTGCCCTTGACTGCTAAAGTTACTTAATAGATTCACTGGGAAGAGTTTCCCATTTATTACTTTTGGCATTTTATTGAAAAACGTCTTTTATCAACAAATGTGTTTGCTATGCCAGCAAGCCAAAACTCAGAAGAAATATTGTTCTTCCCTTTGTTCATATTCCCCAGTTTATTCTGGCCCTCTAAATGAGTTTCTGGTTTCCCTGGATTCCACACAAACTCTGGAGTTGGATTTCAGTTGGAGGTCAAAATTTTAAACACATATAATTTGGGAATGGTGATGCATGGTAAAAAGTTTTGGAGCAATTGCCAGCCCATTGCCACCTCTTCCTCTAGAAACCATACCTCTCCTCCCACACCCCTCTCCCCTTCCACAGTTATTTGATCCCCCTCAAGTGAACCAGTTAGCTAGAACCACGTAAAGCCAAAGCCCGGAAGGAATGAGAAGCTCGAAGTAGAAATTACTGGATTCAGAAAGGAGGAGAACTGCAGATTCACCAAGAGCCCATAAGGGCCCCGAGAGACAGAACCAATTCAGTTTTTCAGGGACAGAACAATCTCATTTCTCAGTGACAGAGAAAAGAGTCATTCTCGCACAGATTCTCAGTTCCTTGTAGCGGTTCCCCTGAGATGTGGCAGTTTTTTTCCCCTCCTTAGTATTTCTATATATTTACAAGGATACATCACCTCAGGTTTAACTTGGCCAATGGCAGATTGTTTTCTTTTGCTAGATATCACCTCTTGGTTTTCTAATCTAGAAAATGTCGACAAATGAAAAGGCCACCTTCTTATTCTTTGCAGACCTCCTTTGATTAGCCTGAATTTTTTTTTTTTTTTTTAAGTAGGCTCCACGCCCAGCATGGAGCCGAACATGGGGCTTAAACTCACGACCCTGAGATAAAACCCTGAGCTGAGACCAAGAGTCGGACGCTTAACTGACTAAACCACCCAGGCATCCCGGTAGGACTGAAATTTTTTAGCTTTGCATGAGAAGAGTTGTATCTTCAGAATCTTTTTTTTTCTCTTAATACCAGGAATTGCTGTACTTCTCCATAGAATTTGGCTTGGCTTTATTTTGTGGTCGACCCTGAGCCGTGAAGCTGATCAAGTTTGACTTTTTCATTTTCATGACTTAGAAAGCTTAAAAATAAATGTGAAACCCATATAGAGAAGTTGAATCACTATGTTGTATACCTGAAACTAATGTAACATTGTGTGTTGACTATATTCAAATTTTAAAAATTGTTTTTAATTGAAACCCACATAGAGCAACAGCTTAGGAGTTTGTAATATGTAATTTTCCATTAAGCTCATCCTGGATTGATTTTCCAAAATTATTTCTGTTCTTTTTTTTTTTTTCTTCCTCTCCTTCTCACCTTGATCTTAGTAATCTTATTTTATAAACCTTTTAAATAAATATAAATCAATGAATTAATATCACATCCAGTGAGCTCAGCACATGGATGTATGCGTCAAAGATGTTCCATAAATACATGTTAAGTCTTGTTTCAATTAAAGTCATAAATACTCTTCTGAATGCAATAAGCAGTGACTACCTAATAGAAGACTTTTGGGGCCTTAAGGAAAAGGTTCTGCTTAAAAGATTTGTGATCATGATATCTATCTATCTATCATCTATCTATCTATCTATCTATCTGTCATCTATCATCTATCATCTTTGTATCTATCATCTATCATATAGATGCCATTTTCAAAATTCTCTAATGCTCTCTGTATTAATTTTGATACATAGACACATCTTAACTAACATTATGTATAAATATAATGCTCTCTTTACAATTTTTTTTCTGCTCCCATTTCATGAAACGCTTTTATTCAAAGCCTTTATATGCACCTTCAGCATCACTTACTAACATTACTGGTCCCATCATTAAAGTCTTCTTTGAAAATTTATATTTTGGAAGTTGTCCAACATACTCAAAAGAGAAGCTTATAACCTTTCATGTACCTATTGCCTGATTTCAACAATTATCGATATATGGACAACTTTATTTCATCTATATTTCTACCCATTTCCCTTCCCTGAAATAAAAGCCCTATAAAATCCAATTTGAATTGGATGAACTTATAATGTATTTTATCTTAAAAATGTTAGGTCAAGGGGTGCCTGGCTGGCTCAGTTGATAGAGTGTGCAACTCTTGATCTCGGGGTCATGAGTTCAAGCCCTACATTGGATGTGGAGCCTACTTAAAAAAAATGTTAGGTCAATCTACATGAGACTGCTGATATTCTATCATTTTAGATTTATAGAAAATGCAGTTTCATAGGGCTCAAAACCACATGGTTCATATGGTTCTTCCTCACTCTGTCCAAAAAAGGCAGAAAGAATGTCCAATCTAATAGCAGTGAGTGTTTCTGCTACTGGAATTGTGTTCTCTAAATATCATTTCTCATTAAAAGGAACAAGGGTTTTTGAAAAAGACATTTTGGAAAAGTGTTTAATTTTAGCTCTGGGGCAAAAAATGCGAGATAAGCTTAGAATTATCTTGTCATATCCTAAAGCAAGGGTGTTGACAAAGGCTATCAGGTTAAAGGACTCTGGAGCCAATTTGATGATTTTGATGATTCTTGCACACACATGAAGTCAAGAGTATTTCTTCTTCACATTTTTAGGATGATGGCAGTTTGGGGGATTTGACTTGACCTGGTTAATCAATAATAGCCTTTGTTGGTAATTTTCTCTTTCTCATTCTCTAGGAGAGCTACCTTTCTCTAGAGGACTGGTGAGTGACATTCCATTGATGAACTTTCAGCACATTCAACGCTTAACTCCAGAGAAGATCAATGGGTTAGAGAAGGTTGTAATTTACATTTCTTGTCAAAGTAGAAACATGTCTATAAGACTATGGATGTGTTTAACTTTGGAGTTATCCATATAAAGAGATAAAGGTCCTTTAGTTTGGGGAAAAACTAAAATAAAACTGGATAAGGATCATTATCACAAATAACTGCCAAATGCCTCAGGACACAGGGAAGCTATTTGTGATTCTAGTAATTACTATAAGGGGAATTTAACAGATCCTTCTAAGATACTATCAAGCCCTTCAAAGGGAACTGAATAATTGTTTGCCTCTGGTAAGTCTGACTTCAATTGAAAATATAGATAAAAATATTAGAAATGTGTGTGGATGCTCCTACCACACTGGATTCCTAGCCTTTGTATATCTGAGAACCAAGTGAAACAAAAATACATAGGGATGAATCCTGAGTTTCTCCTAGGCCACTTATGGTCGGCAGACAGACACAGAAAAATGATAAGGTTATCTGAAGCCCTTATCCATTCTTGCCAGCTGGGGCTTTCTGCAATGGGCATGGGACAAATTCTCTGGACATGAGAACGAATAAGCAATGGAGGCTTTTGCAATACAAAATGCTTTCTCTTAGGGAAGGCAGAAAGTGCCCTGCTGAGAGGTGTGGAGAGAACTAGACTAAACTGGCAATAAACCTCTTTCTTTGCTAGAACTAAAAACTGGCCATGTTTTCCACCCCCACCACCCCCACCCCCCACCCCAGTGCGAATAAATCTTTGATTACTTTAGACTTTACCCTATATTCTACTCCCCATATAATCAACTCTCTGTTAATGTTACCTTCTAAGTATTTCTACTACATCATTTTCTCCATTGCTAATCCTACGATCCAGAAAAACCTTATCAATTCACCCGGCTTATCCCTGTAGCCTCCCAATCCTAGCTTCTTCCATTCCTTCCATTTTCACCCATCTCCACAGTCTTAGCTTTTTCTTCTTGGGAAACAAATCTGATCATGTCATTCTCTTGCTCCAATGCTAAATTAGTATGGGTTCAAACACCGAAATCTGGTTTTAAAATGCCTCCCCACAATTTAAATTCCCAACTTGCCCAGCTTTATTTCCTGCCATGCCCTTTCCCCCAGTTTTTCATTTCCAACCAGGATTCCCCTGGAAATATTTCCTAACTCTGATGACTATTAGTGCCTAAATCTGTATAACAAAAGACAAGAGTACTTCACATTTCACTATAACTGCACACCCTCAGGATAAAATTAAAAATCCAAACTCTCAAACAGAGTTAAGGTCAAAAGAGTACCCAAAACCTAGTTCTTTCTGGATCCTTCTAGAAGACTAAGATTTATAAAGAACTTTAATAAAATTAAGACATCAGGTTATTAGAGGTAAATGACATAGACATTCAAGATACAACAGAACAGTCTTTTTCCCTTTCATACTCTGAACTCGCTTGCCACAAAATAATTGCTCCAGCTGGTCCCTCACCCCAAGTTTTCCTCCCCACACTTAATAACTTTCTGTCAAGAGGAGAGGGGAAAGATGGCGGAGGAGTAGGGGACCCTATTTCAACTGGTCCCCAGAATTGAGCTGGATAACTACCAGACCACTCTGAGCACCCACGAAACCAGCCTGAGATGTAAGAAGATCTGGATCTCTACAAACAGAATATCACCGGCAGTTGGTTTTGAGGTACAAAGCGGAGAGCCGTGATTCTGCGGGCAGATATCGGAGCATAAATGGCAGTGGGAGGGAGCCTGGACGTGGGGATCCGACACGGCCGGTGAGTGACAGCCTTCCGCGCTGCGATCGGGGCACAGACTCGCAGACCGGTAGCTTCGGGAAAGGACTTTAGGGCAGCCCCCGGGGTGGAAAACCAGACCGGCGGGGTCGCACGCACGCGAACCGCAGCCGCCCGGACAGAAACCCGAGCGACGGTCGCGCGCATGCGAACTGCAGCCTCCGAGACGGAAACCCGGTGCAGCGGGGTCGCGCCCGTGAACTGCACCCCCGGGGTGGAACAACTGAGCTGCGAGCAGCGGAGTCGCGCGCACATGAACTGCAGTCCCTGGGACGGAACCCCAAGTGGCGGAGTCGCGCGCGCGTGAACTGGGAGCGGCTGGCGGTTTTAGAAGCACAAAGGGCACAGACGTGCCCCAACCTGCAGGCAGGACTGGGGGCGCTGCGGAGGGGCGCACAACCCAAGACGCTGCAGTTTATAGCAGCAGGGACAGAAACGGAGACGGTGAGGCCTGGAGAGCTCACTGAAGAACAGACTGCGGTCTCTCTGCTCTGAGGCAGAGGGTTGGAAATGGTCTCTTCTGCTCTGACTTGCGGAAGAGACGCGGAAAGCCACCAGGGAAAGACGCCAGAGAACAAAAGCCCCAAAGACTGATTCCCGCTGAGCCCATCCCCCGCCACAGGGGTGCAGGGCAACTCCGCCCAAACAGGGTTGCCTGAGTAACAGCGCGGCAGGCCCCTCCCGCAGAAGACAGGCTGGGAAAACAAGAGGCCAGCAACCCTAAGGTCCCAAGAAAACAGGTGCATCTTGCTTGGGTTCTGGTCAATAATTTGAACTCTATACATTCCCTCAAACGCCCATCCACAGAATGACTAGGAGGAGGAGCCCCCAAAACAGAAAAGGCTCACAGATTATGACTTATGCTGCAGATTTACAAATGGATGCAGATATAACCAAGATGTCAGAGATGGAATTCAGACTAGCAATTGTGAAGACAATGGCTAGAATGGAGAAATCAATTAATGGCAACATAGAGTCTCTAAGGGCAGAAATAAAAGGTGAATTGGCAGAACTTAAAAATGCTATCAATGAGATCCAATCCAATCTAGATAATCTAACAGCTAGGGTAACTGAGACAGAAGAGAGAATAAGCGATCTGGAAGACAGTATAATAGAGAAAAAGGGAAAAGAGGAGGCCAGGGAAAAACAACTCAGAATCCATGAAAATAGAATCAGAGAAATAAGTGACACCATGAGGTGTTCCAATGTCAGACTAATTGGAATCCCGGAGGGAGTGGAGAGAGAGAGAGGGCTAGAAGATGTATTTGAGCAAATCGTAGCTGAGAGCTTCCCTAATCTGGGGAATGAAACAAACATTCGAGTCCTAGAGGCAGAGAGGACCCCTCCTAAGATCAAGGAAAACAGGCCAACACCCCGGCATGTAATAGTAAAACTTGCAAATCTTAGAACCAAGGAAACCATCTTAAGGGCAGTTAGGGGGAAGAGATTCCTTACGTACAGAGGGAGGAACATCAGAATAACGTCAGACCTATCCACAGAGACCTGGCAAGCCAGAAAGGCCTGGCAAGACATAGTCAGGGTACTAAATGAGAAGAACATGCAGCCAAGAATACTTTATCCGGCAAGGCTTTCATTTAGAATGGATGGAGAGATGCAGAGCTTCCATGACCGGCAGAAGTTGAAAGAATATGTGACCACTAAGCCGGCCCTGTAAGAAATATTAAGGGGGGTTCTCTAAAAGGAGAAAGACCCCAAGAGTGATCTACAACAGAAATTTACAGGGACAATCTATAAAAACAACGTCTTCACAGGCAACCTGATGACAATTAATTCATATCTTTCAATAATCACTCTCAACGTGAATGGCCTAAACGCTCCCATAAAACGGCACAGGGTTGCAGATTGGATAAAAAGACAGGACCCATCCATATGCTGTCTACTAGAGACTCATTTTGAACCTAAAGATACATCCAGACTGAAAGTGAAGGGATGGAGATCCATCTTCCATGCCAGCGGACCTCAAAAGAAAGCTGGGGTAGCAATTCTTATATCAGACAAATTAGATTTTAAACTAAAGTCTGTAATAAGAGACACAGAAGGACACTATATCATTCTTAAAGGGTCTATCCAACAAGAAGATCTAACAATTGTAAATATCTATGCCCCCAACATGGGAGCAGCCATCTACATAAGCCAACTGTTAACCAAAATAAAGAGTCCTATTGATAACAATATGTTAATTGTAGGAGACCTCAATACTCCACTCTCAGCAATGGACAGATCATCTAAGCAGAAAATCAACAAGGAAACAAGAGCTTTGAATGATACATTGGACCAGATGGACCTCATAGATATTTACAGAACATTCCACCCTAAAACAACAGAATACTCATTCTTCTCGAGCGCACATGGAACTTTCTCCAGAATACACCATATACTGGGCCACAAATCAGGTCTCAACCGATGCCAAAAGATTGAGATTATTCCCTGCATATTCTCAGACCACAGTGCTCTAAAACTGGAACTCAGTCACAAGAAAAAATTTGGCAGAAATTCAAAAACTTGGAAGCTAAAGACCACTCTGCTCAAGAATGTTTGGGTCAACCAAGAAATCAAAGAAGAACTTAAACAATTCATGGAAATCAATGAGAACGAAAACACATCGGTCCAAAACCTATGGGATACTGCAAAGGCAGTCCTAAGGGGGAAATACATAGCCATTCAAGCCTCACTCAAAAAACAGAAAAATCCCGAATTCACCAACTAACTCTACACCTTAAAGAACTAGAGAAAAAGCAACAAACGACGCCTAAGCCATGCATTAGAAGAGAAATAATTAAAATTAGAGCAGAAATCAATGAATTAGAAATCAGAAACACAGTAGATCAGATCAACGAAACTAGAAGTTGGTTCTTTGAAAGAATTAATAAGATTGATAAATCACTGGCCAGACTTATCCAAAAGAAAAGAGAAAGGACCCAAATTAATAAAATTATGAATGAAAGGGGAGAGATCACGACTAACACCAAGGAAATAGAAACAATTATTAGACATTATTATCAACAACTATATGCCAATAAACTGAGCCATCTGGATGAAATGGAGGCCTTCCTGGAAACCTATAAGCTGTCAAGACTGAAACAGGAAGAAATTGACAACCTGAATAGGCCAATAACCAGTAACGAGATTGAAGCAAT